TACGCCGCTAGCACACGAGTTGCGAACCACAGCAAAACGAGGTGATGAACGGTCAGATACTAAAGTGGCTCGCAGTAATGATACTCGCCCTTCGTCGCGTCCTCCGTCGCGCCCACCCTCCCGGGGGTCGGGACGTGTACCCACACCCCCACCAACTCGACGTCGGAGTCTGTCTCCACCCTCTTCTCGAGGGCCCCCCGCCGACGGTCGCTCGGAGCGTCCAGCGGATGTGGAAAGAGCAGACAGGACCAATCGAGGTTTCCAACTCCGTCAAGATCGCATATTATCACGAAGTGGACCGGAATCTGACAGACTTGATCGAAGTCCCAGAGACCGTCCTACTATGCATAGGGATATAGATCGAATGAGAGACTTGGATCGTGACCGGGAAAGAGACCGTGAGCGGGACCGCGAAAGGGATCGTGATCGTGAAAAGGATCGAGATAGAGGGGATCGTCATCGACGCGATTGGGATAAGGAGCGGGATGGTTCTGGTTCTCGGAAAGATAGGGACGTTCCCATAACTAGAGAAGTACCTTCTCATCCTCGCCGCGAAACTCCTCAGGAGGAGCTGCCTACTGGCCCTGATCTATCCCGAAGTAGACCCGTCGCAGGTAGTAGCGAGGACAGTTTAGGCAAGAGGCGCCGACTCCCTGAAGATGATGTGCGTTATCTTCACTTACTATTTCATGACCCATTGTATTGACTTCTTTGCAGGTGGAAAGGAGTTCGAAACGTAGCACTCGACACAAAGATGCGTCATATCGTGATGAACGCGGTTCTCGCCATAAAGGGGACAGGGAGCGAGACCGTCCCAGGGACTCCGATCGTAGCAGACGGAGAGACCGTGATCCAGACACTTCTTCGCAGGGCGACGGACGGATATTGTCAGAGGCACAAGAACGGGTGTGCTCTACGTTTTATTTTGCCGTTCTGGATCTAACTAACCAACCAATTCTATTAGCCTGCCGATCAGCCTGGTGGCGGAAAGCACACACCAGCGCCCCCATCAGCTCCACGGGCCATGGCTGATACCCCTTCTCGACCATCCCGAAATGACTTCAACGCTAGTCGTGTTGACGGGCGGGGCCGTGGTTGGTCTGCTACCGGTCGTGACAATGGGGCTTCTAACCTGGGAAGTCGTATGGAAGGTGGGAATTATCCCAGCAACGGTCTTAGAAGTCGAATGGACGATTCCCCACGCCAAAGCACGTATTCGGGTCCACCGCAACGCAATGAACCACCATTCAACGGCGACCGTGGCGCCTTCCGAGATGAACCCCGCTCACACGAGATTCCCAGGAAACGGACATTCTCTGGTATGTTTCAGTCTCTTCCTTTCTTTGTACACTGCTCATTGTTTGTTTTGTTCAAGATCGCGGACGTGAAAAGGATGAAGTTGACACAGGTCCAGAAGGCAATCAACCTCCAAAGCGGTTGAGGATCAATCGAACATCTCGTTATGCACTCGACGATGCAATGCAGAAATCGTCTGATTCAAGTAGACAGGATGGCAAAGCAGATAATAAAGCCACAGGGCGCTCCGGAAAGAAAGATTGATTGTACAAGCTGTAATAATAATTGTTTTTGTATTTTTTATGCACGAAGCAGTTCCAATCCTGGAACATAAAGTTTTTATTGATTCCGTCCTTCATATTATCTTACATGACTCGTCAGCAGCCATCCAAAAATGTAATCAAACCCTCCAAGATCTCCTGTTGTGTGGGTGACGAATCGTCTAATGCCCGCGACTCGTCCACTCCAACATTATCACGGTAGACTTTTAAGACGTTAACGATGTCCTTGAGGGTTTTGTTTTTACGATCCATCATCATTGCGACATGGTTGCGTATCTAAATGGTTGTGTTCATTGGTAAGGATAATAAATAAACCTGCTGCGAGTGCACATACCCCATCGTCCTCCATGCATATCCAGCCTAAGATGTAGTCTACTAACTGTAAAACAAACAATCCACTGTCTAACCTCCGCAAGTACAAAGTATCCTCTTCATCTTCGCCGACGATGGCGCCATCGACAAGATTCTACAATGTATCAGTAGAACTTCCTACTATTGAATCCAATACATACCTCACGTTCACGTGCAAATTCTTTTTCAGCAAGCTTTAGTCGTCCCTCAGCATTTTCCCTAATCTCCAGCAGGCGGTCCACCTTCTCATAAGTTCCTTCTACAAATTTGGTCAATAATCGTACACGGGCTGGCGATTCGGAGGCTATATTTGAAAATAAGGAGGATATAATTCCAAGTACATGAGATGTATCCTCTATTGCAGGAAGAGTAGTTGTAGTGGACGTTTGTTTTTGCGCCTGATAATTATGTCCGTGAGCTGCCGAACATGGCAAAAAACGGCATTTTTATTTACTTTCCCCATAAACGCCGAAAACAGTGTTTTCAAGCCGAGAGCTTCGATGAATGTTTCGCAGTTAGAAGTACCTGCCGCACCAGATAAGGCATGATCTAGCACTTTTATGGCCCGTGAACGAGATTGTTTCTTTTCTCTACAACTGCGTATGAGGAAGTATATCTGGCTGAAGCTGGAAGACAAACTTCATAATAATAACCATCAAATCAACGCCCTCCTCTTGGAGGAAGAGTTGTTTCGTCTCGGGTTCTATTAGTGCAGAACATAGAATGTCGAATACATTTTCCATGAATTCTGTCTCGTCTGCATCTGAAGGATCTTTCTTCCTGAATTGCTGAATAGGACCGATCAAAACCGGTCAACCACGCCCTATCTAATGAAATGATTGCAACGTACTGATATAACTTGTAGTAAAGTTTCCACGCCACCCTTGGTGCCAAATGTCAAACGGTTCTCACGATTACCTTGCAGAAGAATTGATAGCACTTCTGCAGCGTATCCTCGATTGTCGTCATGTGTTTTGGCACTTATTCGCTCCAAAAGCCAAGGGAGAATGTTGGTCTCAGATACCATGCGAATACTTAGCTCTGGATTGAAACCAATAGTATTTTCAAATATGCCTTCACCAACTATCAGCACTATAGCAGAATACCAGAGTAAATATCTTACCAAGGACATGGAAGACGCCTTGGCGGTCAGTCTCTTCCGATTCATTTAACCGAGTTAAATTTTGAACGAGAAGCTCCAGTAGCGAATGCTCTAACTGAAAGCTTGATCAATTTCGATTGTGAGCAGTAAGTAATACACGTCATACCAGTCCTTCAATTAACTCTCTTAGTGCCTCTTCTCTTCGTCCTTCTTCGTCGTCGTCGTCTTCTCCTTCATTGCCGACATCTTCATCGGTCAATTCATGTATAACCTCGACTACGTCGATCACAATATCAGCATTTTCATGGCTCAATAGGTCCACGAGTGTTGTTGCTGCCCCCGAGCGGACAAGCTCAGGATATGCCAACCTGGGAGCCTGAGCGAGTGGGAGGAGCGACTTGATTGCAGCATCGAGGTCTGCCTCTGAATCGATAAATCTACGAAAATCAAATAAGCGTCATTTACGCAGAAATTAATCCCTTGTGACCATACTTGGAAGGGTCATCGGGGTATTTCGAACGTTGATCCTGGTTCTTCTTAACTGCACGATCAAATCGTAGCAAAAGCCGTCGAATGCCAGCAATTGAAAGATCGTCAAACTGCATGACATAGACACGTAAGTCAGAATCTATGCAGAAAAAAGACGTACGAACACCATCCTGGACCCCTTCGCCCCCCGCATCATCAAATATATTCAAAATCTTCTTCTGTTCATCCGTGAGTCCGCCGCCGTAAAATCGACCATCTTCGTCCTCCTCTGCAAAGTAGTCTGCATCATTGCCCGGTGCAAAACTAGTCTGATCCTCCATATCCTCATCTTGCACTTCTTCCAAAGTCACGCTTGGTGTTTTCATCTTGGGATGCTCAACGCTACGGCTTGTTCCATTCCGTGGTGTAGGGGTAATGTCAGTGTCTGGATCCATTCTCATTCGCTTCAGCATTTCTGGGGTCGGTGCATCAGGAAGTTGTCGCTTTTTGCTGTTTGGCAGCTTCGGAATCTGCAACTTAGTGAGTAGGTGTAAGTGGTAATAGTTGGTCTTATTACATACTTTGAAAATTTTGTCGATATCCATACTGCAGATCTTATGAATTAACAAAAGGTGAGTTTTGTTTCCTTGGACTGAAGTGTGACGCTGACTGTGACACAACATTGGACTTTCCTTGACGTAGCCGTCTGTACTTATTTATCACAGAACGATGACATTTTAAACAAAGGAATGGTTCGCATACATATTTATGAGCAATTGGTTCACTTTTATGGAGATACCGAGTCCTCCTGGCTGTACTACCTGGTACTAAGCCTTACATAATATCCGAATAAGTATTTATGTTCGTACTCCCAACTCCTACTTCCAAACATGACCCAAAGGTGTTACGTAGTAATCCATAAAGATAATGCGAGTGGGATCCAATAAATACTAAGGGAATTTTCAAGGAGAAAGCATTTTGAAGGTTGTGTCGCCATGGGTCATAGTGTAATGCTAGTTGTCCGACTGCCATTTGTGTATCTAATAAGTGAAAGGAATTCACAACAGCATGATCACTCACTTATCCAGGTCGGTTTCTAAACTGCAGCTCCCACTCCTCAGCATCGAACCCTCCCGTTCGGAAGTCTCTTCTACGCCGACGCATCTCACTACCCATGCCAGTTCTGGCACCCGATATAGTAGCATCCCAAAGCTCATTGAAGGCGTTTTGAAGAGGAACACCCAGACAGGAAGATATGATCAGCCATACTGATAAGAGGATACTTTATCGCAGGTTTGTCAAACTAGTTTGGAAGAGAAAGCATTGTCTGAGGGCTCACAATAACAGTCCGACAATTATTATCAGTAGGGTCAATGAAGAGGAATCATCTCCCATCACATGCTTTTCCATGAGTGGGCAAGTAGGGTGAAACGAGTGGGAGTGTGTCCAAAGGAATATTTGGTGACGTTGGCTTTATATATGCACCACTCAACAGTAAATGCCTCTGAGTAGCTCAGTTGGAAGAGCGTCAGACTGTAATGGAAGTTTCTCATCGTTATCTGAATGTCACTGGTTCGATCCCGGTCTCGGAGATTCTTTTACTTTTTCTCCTGCTGAAAAGCTAGTAGAACAGTTACATTTAGCCTCCATTTTCTTGTTGCCTTAACGTTCTAAATCTTTTCCTCTTTTGCTTTTTAATATCTTGGAGAGCACAAGTATGAAATACGAGTGACTTGCCACAGTGTCACACCCCTCATTCAAATGATCAACTACGTTCTCCTTGTTTCCCGGCAAGGTTGTTTTATCTCTGTGTGGCACTTTTTGAGGCTGTGTACTTACCATTTCCTTTAGGCAAAGTACGCTTAGCGAAATGGTTTACAACCATGCAGCCCAAAGCCAAGTCGAAGATTGTCAAAGACGTCACACAGCTCGTGCTTGCACGGCGCACTCGGATGTGTAATTTTCTAGAATATAAGGGTTTGTGGAACCCATACTGTCGTATCCTCTTCTTTGATAAGACTGTGTAGATACCAAGGTCGTTTACAGGCGTTATGCCTCGTTGTTCTTCGTATGTGGGATCGGAGCAGGCGACAATGAGCTTGTGACTCTCGAAATCATCCATAGATATGTGGAAGTGTTGGATCGGTACTTTGGCAATGTGAGCATTAATGCTTTTGTGTGTGATATTATATTGAACGACGCGTTTTCTAGGTTTGCGAGTTGGATCTGTGAGTGATGAAACGGCTATCTACAGGTTTGATTCGTTGAAGGTGTGAATCTCCTAGGATTTTCAACTTTCAAAAAGCATATTCCGTACGTTTTTAACTACAATGATGATGCAAAAAAATTAATATATTCTAGATCCTGGATGAGCTTATTATTGCTGGTGAAATACAGGAGTCATCAAAGAAATCGGTGTTACGGGTGGTACGTGTTGTGTCATCTCGTCCGTTGTAGCGTGTATCTTTTACTTACACACTACCGACAGGTTGCTCAATCAGACCAAATTGAGGAGACAGAGAATAGCGAAGACACTTTAGCTCGGCTAGGTTCGCGTAGTGGTTGACTAGGGGCACAACCAGGATCCTTGCAATAAAACATGTATTTTTCGATCATCGATCGTTACAAGGATAGAGAGCAACACGTCGGGGTATTGGTAATGTATACGCCTTTTGGCCTTTCATACAGGTACCTAGTTAGCAGCTGTTAAATATGGACGTTTAAAATAAAACGTAGTAATTTAAATGGCAAATGAATATTTTTAAACTGAGATGAGAATGGAACAACCGAGACACCTTCAGGGTCGAGTACTTTATTTTTGGGAACGTTGTCTAAGGGAAACTTTGGCTTCCCCGTGTCCATTTAGTGGCTTTTTCCCTACCTCGTGGCCGTCATCTTCGTCATCAGATCGTTCGTCGTCAAGTCCCGTTGTAGAAGATAAGGCACTGTTTTAATTGAGTTTAAAAATGATGAAAATGAGGAGAAAGACATACCGTATCAATATACGCCAAATTAAGACATACCAGAAAAGATTGACTATTTGGAGAGCGAACATCGGGATGAAAACTTGATATTTCATCCAGTGAACTAGCCAAACACCATCTTTTGGACTCCATTTCTTTGCAAAATCGCTTTGGTTGAAGTTAGAAAACTCGTCTCACCGCATGACAACCATGGTGGCACGCACGGAATCAAATCAAATTCTGTCCACACAGACCACAGCATAACAATATTTAGCCAGTGACGGAAGTATCTGCAGGGAATCAAAGACTTTGGAATGGAGAGGTAATTACTACACAGAACAGACTCACGTCCAAACGACAATAAACCAAGCAAATGATATATTTTTCGTTTGCTCGAGCCGAAGATAATTACATAATTTGGACAACTGAAAGTGATGCGTCATTTTAGCTGACAATACCAGATACCAAGAGGTGACATACGGCAAGGAAGACGTCGGAGGCGTCCATGCTTAAAAATACGGCATTTCCTATTGGGGTTAAGTTGATGAGGTAGCTCCATCTGAATAAACACCGTTAGTGAACGGATACGGAAATGATCAACTTCGTACCCGATCAGCCATAGAGTTACGATATGATGGACCACCAACTCAGTGAAGTCCTTGCGGGGTTTTTCCAGCCCCAAAGCAAGAACAAGTAACTGTTGTGTCCAATAAGCCGAATGTAGTAGATAGTATGATTTCATAAGCGGTGTCATTTGCCAATATGGGTATTCTATTTCCAAATTAGCAATATCATATATTATTGAGAGAAAAAATTGAAATGAAACCTAGCCAAAAGTGCGCAGTTTGATACCACCAGGTCTTCGACTGAGACATGACACCCTAAAATAGTTTTAGTACACGATGCGACAATGAAAGATACTGGAGTGTCTCACCAGACCCAATATTGACATGACCGAGAAGTATGTGAGAGCATATCCCTGCTCCCCAAAGCGGTCGACCTTGGCAGACTTTTTAATACCACAACGACGCGCTAGGGGGTGGAAGGCATATAGTGTGATGGCCTGACGAATAAATGACCAAACAATAACGTAGAAAGCAATGAAAAGCAAGTCTAAATATCCTTTCTGATATCGCGGATCGTCTGGTGGCGAATCTGGAATGCGGTGAGAAATAAAAATTAATGGTTCGAAAGGATTGAGCCATGTGTCGGGGATTAAGTTCCAGGACTGAAGCCAGCGAAAATTGAAATAGAGCATGACAAGATAGAGAATCATCTTGAATGACGAGGCCGGAACTCGCATCCATCGCATGCTTTTGAGATCTGACCATAAACCTTCTGAATCAGAGGAGAAACGGCCGAGAGCTTTTAGTGCTGATGGTGTTAAGAGAGCGGGTGAACCTGGACGGAACCCCAGAGGCGTTATTGGGCTGGGTGAGGTATGTAAGTCGTCATGATAATACCGTAAATCCTGGCTTACGTTGGCGGAAGAAATGAGCCGGTGAGGTGATGCGAGACGTCCTGCCTGTGAGGAAGTGAGACGATAATTGAATAGGAGATAAGAGAGGCATACTCTATGTTTTGGAGCATGCTTTGGTTGCTTTGCTTTGCGTTTGGCCGGGACATGATGGAAGCTAAAAGCAGAAGCTGGCCAAAACTTAAACGCCCCAAGTTCGACCAAGCTAATAAACATGGTTACCAGCACAGCCCCAAGAGCACAAGTCCAAGCTGTATACGAGAACATTTATTAAACATTTATCTATTAATATTATTGTAGAAACATGATATACATGGGTCAAATGACCATTTTGTATTGCAATCGAAGACCAACGCTTGGTCACGTGTATAGAAGCTAACTGACCCTGAATGACATGTCACAAGTCCACCTTCGCCTTCACCACGTCCTTCGCATTCAGCTTGGAAAGAGCCGGATGTTCTCTGCTCGTCGTATCGGTCTTTTCGATAGTATTCCCTGTCCCGACATCTCTACATGCTCAAGGAATCCCTGCTTGTTCTCACATAAACGAGGTCTTGTCCATTCTTCCTCTATCGCAGTTCCCGTCTCCGTTATATCCACCAAAGCCCCCGACCATGTCTCCTCAGTCCATCGTGTAGCAACTCCTACAAAGTCAATTCTTAAGCCTACCGTCGCCTCATCGAGCAAAGCTTCAATACCGACAAAGCGACCCATCACTTATTCCTCCTCGATCAAAGCTGATCCGCCAGCAGGTTCAATTATAACTTCACGCCCCTCCGAGCCACCCAGCAAGTTCCAGAGGCTCAACACATCACAACGTGCAGTTCCAGCCCTTGCACAACCATCTAGCTCTTCAGTATGTCTGTTTTCACTATAGCATCCTCACCATCTTTACTTGGCGGCGCTTACAACCCTCCTCGCAATATCCATCGAATGCTCACTCACTTTTCATAAGATTTCTGGAGTGCCGACGCTTATCGCCCACCCTGCAACCAGCACTGTGGCATTAAATATCCGCCAGACCTGTTTAAAAAGTCTCTTCGATGCATTTGTGTACATATGTCCAGCCTGCTTCGTCCAACTACCATATATACTTATATCTTCACTTCTAGCCACCTCTATTCTTCATTTCATGCAGAGCACCCTCACTTCGCTAGTAAAAGCGCTCTTGCTCAAGAGGCTGATGTCTACAGCAAGACTAATAAACAGACATACCGCCAAGGCATAGTATCTGCCATCGTTGCCATTAAGAAGCGGCCCGCTCCTTTGACCCCCAAAGATGACACCGTTGGAAGTGAGGCAGAGTATCAAGCACGACTAAATGTCCGCAAGATAACCCGTGTGGAGGCGCGCCATTTAGAGCAGGTGCTGCTCACCCGTAGTCAGATGATAGAATGGGGCTTTGTGGTGGACATTCCTACTGGACCCGGTGGGGATAAACCGAACTCAGAGGGTGATGAGGAAGTTTGTGAACGATGTACTCAGCGATTTATTGTGACACCATTGGGGCTTGGGAAAGACGAGGCGTGTTCATTCCATTGGGCACGTCCATTTACAACTACTTCGAATGGTATGCCTGTGATGATCGTGCTGCAGTTCAAAGCCCTTCTGAATTGTCTGTTTACAGGCGAGAAGATCAAGACATACAAGTGTTGTGCTATGGTCCACCCCGGACCTGGTTGCGCTCGGGGTCCCCATGTCTTCTACGAAAAAGCACCAGAGGACCTCCATCGTCGGCATCCCTTCACGCGCTCTTCACATCCTGCCCCAAACCTCTCAGAAGATGCTGTACTCGATGTCGCGGCTATCGACTGCGAGATGATATACACGACGGGCGGCATGCATGTTGCTCGCGTGTCGGTTGTAGATGGCGACGGGAAGGCGGTATTCGATGAGTTTGTACGGCTGAGCGAAGGCGTTAAAGTTATCGATTACCTTACAAGGTTCGGAGATGCATATCCCCTCCCGCGCCGTCGATGACGTTTTTTTTCATTTTTTTTTTTTTTCGTTTTTTTTTTTTTCGTTTTTTTTTTTCAGATATTCTGGCATCACCCCCGAGTTGCTCGAGTCTGCCGTGCTCGATCTTAATGCGATTCGACAGGCGTTACGCGCTTTCATCGGCCCAAAGACAATCCTGATCGGGCATGCACTTG